CATAACTCCCACATTGGCAAAATCGTTTTATGTCCAAAAACCGTATTTGTTAATATAACCACCAATCTTGGAAAAATCTTTAAGAACACGAAACTGCAAACTCCTGGTAATAGTGATAGTTTCCCCAAAATTTTATTTTCCCTTAAAATCTTAGATTTTGATAACATTGGCAACAAATATTTGTCAAATATCTTCCATCAAATGATAAGGTACACTCCTCGTTCATCTTAGAGAAAACTGACAAGTACCCAAATGGCTGAAGTGTGTTCTTTAAAAATAGTGTGCTGTGAAAAAAGTGGCGACTTCAGCTCATAGCTTAAATAATCACATGAGGGCCTTTTCTCAGAACAACTGTTGTTCTCTAGTAGTCGGCAGAACTGCTTCGTGCATACTGCCCGTTCCATCACACAAGACAGCAAAAAGATTGAGAAGTAGTAACCGCCAAAGAGCAGGAATTATTACAATGCTAAGGAACCAACACCGTGACCAACAGAGTAACAATAGTTTGGGTCAGAGTAATCCACACTCTTTTAGAGAACAACCATCTCAAGATATCGGGGCTGTGTTTCTATGACGAAGTTTAATTTTCAAAACTATGCAAATGCTCAAGAGATTTTGTCCTGTTGTGTGCATATATTATAAAATTATGAACACTCTTAGGCAATTACTCTACTTCTATCCAAGCTTCCAAAAGAATAACAAAAGTACAAAATATATACCATGGTACACAAGATCAATTCTATATTTACAATTCCTTCTAATTTTAGTTTGCACTTCATACTTAAAAGAGGCATTTTCTGTATGCCACTTTAATATTCTCATAACATTAGTCATGTGACATACTATGAAAACCCAATCTCAAGAAATTGCCACCAGACCAATGCCATTCAAGGAGAAAGCAGAGTGTCTTGAACAGATAAAGATGAGAAACACAGATTTTCGCAGGCAGAGAAATTAAACAGGCTCCACGCCTCATACCACACACAAAAACATTAACCATTGATAATAAACCAAATATCATTTAAAGTTTCACTGATAAGTTATTTTAAAAGCAATTCTAAAATGGACTGATTTGTATGCATAAAATAAGTGATATTTTAAGTGACGATTTTTGACTTTTCATAAATGGTGTGCTATGACCTGTGCAGTAAGTAAGATAAAGTAAACACAGGGGATCGCTTACTGATGTCAAATTCTTTGTCCTCTTCAGATGCTTTAACACAACTTTTTGAAAGCCTTTCTGGGCAGCCCGAGAGAGCGCAGACACTTCCCAATTGTTCTTGGTCTCATCTAATCAACAGCAAACAAAAATAAATTCTAAATACCATTCATTTGCTCGATAAATACAAGTGAGAACATACTACACTGCTAAATAAAGACAGGAAAGCCTAGTTTTAATTTCTAGTCAAACACAGTTTTCTGGAACAAAACTATTAATGGTTGTTGTCAAAGACCTACTAAATCGCTCCTTAGAGCAATGGCCAATTCCATGGCCTGGGTAGACATGCATTAAAAGAAAATGCCTGAAAAAACCAATGGAGCCTGCAAAGGGCCAAGCTGGTAAGCACTCTCACATCTGTTATGTACCAATTATGGGGCAATCTGTGCATCAATAGAAATAAAGATGGCAAAAGATTAAGCTTAGAATTAAAATTAGAATCCACAAGTCCATGCTAATAGACACCTGTGTAGTGGAGTGAAATTTCTTAACATAGCTCTTTTCCACCAGTCTCTGTAACTCCCACCAGACGAGTGAGCGGGACCATATGCACAGGGCATATGTAAAGCTAAGAAAGAGAAGGGTCAGTTTTCCTTATCACCCCCTGGCTAAAAGGATGAGCCAACTTTGAATTGCAAAAGAGAGACCTAGAAAGAGTACATCCAGTCTCTGTCTAAAATGGCAGAAGCCCCCAAGATCAGGTGCATCAGGCCCTGGGGCAGAGACTCAGAGGGGCAGCACTGAGACTATGGGGTACCTTCTCCTCATCTGACACGAGACTATGGAACTTCGGACAGCGACCCAAGGGCTGACTTCCTGGCCCATGGAAACAAAGGCCAAGGGACCATGTGGCTAAGTGACTGAGGACCAGAAAGGGAGACTTGGCAGCTGGCTCAGACAATGACTGCATGCTTACTGCTTGCTGATCCTGACTTGTGGTAACCCTTCCAGTCTTCTAATAAACCCCCTAGATCATGAGTATTGTCATGAGTTGTGTGTGGCCACTGTAACAAACTACTGAATCCAGCATACATGTAGAGTGTCGTGGGAGGAATGGTTGATGTCAGAGTAGGTAAGGAAGGATGCAATATGGTGGCGTGTCTGAGTCTTGCCTCAGGGCAAAGGAAATGCAGCTATCTCCACCCCCATTGTGGCTAACTGCCCCTTTAAGAAACAAAAACAAAATGTGAGTGTACTGTTTTCTTGGCATAGCCTCCATCTAGGTCTATACACTTCTGCCCTAACTATATTGTGATTTAGGTGAAAATTGAGAGATCCAAGCATCCATTGTACATTCAACAGTTCACACAGTCTGTCTCAACTCATCCACTGCAACCCCTCGATGTGATCCCACTTATCCTACTGCCATCTGTTTCCAGGTTTCCTCCCTCCTTCTCTCCCAACCCTCTGAACTTCATCCTTGGGCCCATGCTGCCCTTTTGACTGATTATTCCAACAGAGGGTGAATTCAGTTCAAAGGCCAGTCTTGGGAGGCCCACGGGTCTCCATTCAACCAGTAAACATAGCCTCGTTCATGATTTTAAGTTCTGTTCCACATTTCTTTCTCCCACTCTATCCAGGACCTTCTAATGCAATCCGTTCCAGAGTAATTAGTAGGGGTAGCTGGTCACCATCAAATGCTGGCCTCAGGTCATAGACAGTAATGTCTGCATGTTCCATTCATCGATTCGTCTAAAGTTTCCATGTCTTTCCATCTTCAAAATTTTTCTTTCCTTTGGACGGACAAAGTAGTTTGTCTATACATATCTAAATCTATGTTCAATATCTATATCTAAACATAGTACTGAAATCTAACTCTTTTCAGGGTGGCACTGTTCAAGTAAGCATCCAACTAACTTCATAGTCAGCAGTTCAAACCCACAGCTGGGGCAGAGGAGAAAGATAGCGGCATCCACAGAGATTTACCACTTCAGAAACCCTAGGAGTGGCTATGCGTCAGAACTGACTCAGTGGTAATGGGTTTGGGATTTGGATAACACCTTCCCAAAGAATTCTGTGTTCTTCAAATCATATTCTTTTAAATAGGGATGAGAGAAGTCTGAATGGGCAAAATCAAGGCAGTAGAGTGTAGCAGCTAACGTTTCCTAGTGAAACTTTCACAGGACAGCCCTTGCTACGCTTGAAGAATAGGCAGGCGCACTATCAGGATGCAAAAAATTCATCAGCACAACTTTCTTGGCTTTTATTCCTTCACCAGTGAAATTTTCTATTTTCTTAAAAAGTCTTCCTATGAAGCCTCCATGATGGCCCAGTGTCCTTTGAGAAAATCCATCAAGATTATCCCTGTGGACTCCGGCACAGCCACCATAACCTTCTGAACTGACCTCTCTGCTTGAAGTCAACTAGCCCAACAGATCCTCGGAAGCCACTATTCTGATTGGACCTTGTGCTCTGGATCTTATTAGTAAATCCAAGACTCATCCCTGGTTACAATTTGTTCCATAAAATCATCTTCATTAGTTTCTATTTTGCTTCAAAGGCTGAGAGAAAACTCTTTTGAGCTAGCTGATCTATGCACGCTTCGGTCATCCTTAGAGCTGAAAAATTGCTGAGGCCAAGATGTTCACTCAAACTGAAAACACCAAAGTATGTGACATTCTAAAGTTAATACTTGTTCTATCGATGCCCAATCTACGGCCTTCTTCTGCCATGATCTGGATTTCAGCCATAGCTCCTTCATTCTTTGACATTGATGGTCTCTCGGCTTATCTTAGCAGTCTTCCTCATCTTCTTTAAAACCCTCGATCCTTGTAAATAATGCTGTTTTATTTAAGTCAACATTCCTCTAAACTTGCTGCAAAGCTTCATTGCTTTGGGAAGATGTTCACTTGAGTTGTTTTGTTTTGTTTTTAATTTGATATTAGTCCTGACCTCAAAATAATTTTTCCACATAGCACAGAAAGTATTTTTTGAGGGCAGCTGAATGAGACCAAGACAAATATATCACTGATAGTGCTTGCTTGCAGCCATCCACTGACTGCAAACACATACTTAAATATATGTCGTATGGAATAAACTGGAGTACTCATGAATGGATCTCTATGCATTACTGTTTGACTTAACCTCACATATTTGCAACATCAAAATAAATTCTTTCAAAAACTTGATAATAGTAATAATGCCTTAATTAGACCTCCTATTCTGACAATGACATTAAAATGAATTCAGAAAGTTATAAAAATACTAGTCAAGCATATTTTGAACATGTTGGCTTCAAATTCCCTAAGCTGTAAAACTACAAATAGTCCTAGGCTCGCTATAGGGTCTATAGGGTTGGCAGTGAATTTGGCAGGGAAGAGGATTGTTTATTTTAATTAAGATTCATACATCACAATCTTTGTAACCCTTACCTTGAAAGGCTGAAGTTTTCAGATAACCGTCCAGGCAAGGGAGAATGTCCTTGTAATATGGCTGAATCACGTACTTATGGATATTAACAGACCACTCTTCTAGGGCATTCAGGCCTACTTCCGCCAACGGGGTATGGCTCAAGCCCAGTTTGAAAGCCATCTATCCGTGAATACAAACATGGCAAAATGAAACTCGAGAATTTAAGACGGAAACAAAAGAACAACTGTGTTTTCTAATGACTGTGCATTCCCCCTACTGGACCACCAGACACTACTTGAGGCAAGAGAGTAAACAAAGGTAGCTAATAGGACAGCAGCAAGTCACCTGTCTACACGGCAAGGGCTGTACTGTAAACTCTCAAAGGATGGACATTTTAAACTCACATCAATCCACAAGGGGAACGCAAGAGTCAAAGTCAAGTGCCTCAAACCCCAAAGGCAATAAGCAGCCGAAGCATAACCTGACCCAGGGGTGAGCGATGGCAGAGCACTAAAGGAGCATGCCATCTCGGTGCTTATGAGGAAATGCAGCACTGCAGGAAGAAGGGGATCTCCTCATGAAAACACACCTACCTGCAATGCAGGTACATAGGCTTTCATATCAAGCTCAATGATGTGGTGTGGCAGGGACAGAATGAAGGTCAAGCAGGAAGCCAGCAGCTCATCTTTGTACTGCTTCATTTTAACTGACACCTTCCAAAAAATGAGAAAAGACAGTGTTATGTGACTACGGTGAGCATACAATTTACATATCAACTTTGAAAAATCTACCTGACTCTCAAAGAGGAAAAATACTCATGTAGCTTTTATACGACAGGGCCACTCAAACCAAAGTGAACTCACTGCCATCGAGTCATTTCCAACTCGCAGCGATCCTATACGACAGGGTAGAACTGCCCGAGTGAGTTTCTGAGAATGCAACTCCTCTGGAAGCAGAAAGCTCCACCTTTCTCCCTCGGGCACCTGGTCGTTTCGAACTGCTGACCTTGCAGTTAGCACCCAAATGTCGACCACTATGCCAGATGGTCACAGTGACCTAAAAAGGTATGATACCCAAGGAAAGTGCATTTATTAAAGTATCTAATGTCCTATAATATGAAAAAAAATTTTGAGTGATTTACTTATTTTGAATTGCCATCACTCAAGTTATTTTTTAAAAATTCAAAGGGCTCAAAAAAAAAAAAAAAATTCAAAGGGCTCTTGAAGCGCATGGGTTCCTTCTTTAGTGTTTTTTAAGAACTTATTCATAACTTGGATTTACCCTGACTTTCATTTATAATCACTAGGACTTTTTTTCAAATTATATTAATTTCAAGCTAGCCCAAAATAGGACCAAAATAAATTGTTTAAAATTATCTCTTTACCAAAAAAACAAACAAATTACCTCTTTGCCAAATTTTGCAAATAAAGCAAAACAAGAATATTTTTCAGCATCCTCAGAAGAGTGTTTCAGGCTCTTTGGACTAATGCCCTGTGAGGTAAAATATTAAATTAGTATTAAATATTAAACTAGGCAACTCTGTACCCCAACCCCGCAGTTCCAGCCTCTCTCTGACAAGTGCATCATTTGCCTTTTAGCAGGGTCTCAAGACAACAAGACAGAGTTCAGGCAGAAACAGCATGAAGAGCAAGTGGACAGACAAGGAAAGAGATAAGTCAGCGCCCTTCTCCTGTGTCTCCCAGTAAAATGCATCTGTAAGCTCAGAGAAAGGACAAGTCACACACTGTTCACCCTGGAAGGAGCCACTCTCACAGTAGCTGGATTTGTCCAAGGAGAGATTATTGTAACACAGCACTTTGGCCAAAAAGTTTTCTAAGTGAGTCTAGAGAAGGCCTGAGAATTTACATTAGAACACATGCTCAAGTACTAATGTAACTTTTTGTCTATAGCGATCAGGTAGGGGCCTGGAAAATCAAGACTGAACAAGCTACATGTTAATCTCTTTAAGAGGTCATTCAATTGCCATGTATATGTCAATTTTTAAAAATGCATTAGAATTAAAATGTTTTAAAACTGCAATATACTGTAATTGCAAATTTCATAATACATTTAAATATGTACAAGCAACCTAAAACAACTATCCAATGTTGTCCACCAAAAATGACTTACCTCAAAATATTTCATTTTCTTGGCATTTCTCACTACAACAGAGAGCAACTTGTAGAAACCACTGATCAGTGGCAACTGAGTAGACTGCAAAATCAGCACATAGGCAAAGGAATATACCCAGGGCTTAAAAAAGTCCACATGTTTCTCAGGAAGAATCTCTCTGTAACAAAACAAATTAAAATGCTTAATGCAGAAAATTTTGATGATATCAATGTTTTCATTCATCTTGGAAATTCTATAGTATGCCTCCAACTCTATCCCAAAGCATTTTCACATATACTTACAAATGTTTTTTCCCCACCTCATTATCTTTTAAATATATACTGAGAGAAATGACAACTCTAAACTAGTAAGTACTTTTAGATACATTTTAAAGGTCTGTATAAATGGCTCTAGATTTCAAATCTTTAACAACTTCATTTCATTCATGTATATAAATGTTTTTGCTGTATTATAGCCAATAACTGATAATTTTCCTATTTAAGTAATTAGAATCATAAATAAATAAATACCTGCAAAATTCCACTAGGTTGATAAAAGCTGAAAAATCTTGAGGTTTAGCAGCACGCAGGTTAGCCACTGGATCTGAAGTTGGGATCACCCAAGCACCAGCAGATTCATTGTCATCCTTAAAAAAATTATACCAAAACAAGCATTGTACCATTCAATCAAGGCTTTGTTCATCACACAACAGAATACATGGTCAAGCCTATTGTGGTATATAATCTGTTGTCAATCTTAGAAAATTAAGAGTAAAGGGGTGGGGTTTGGCCTGTCAATCAGGTCATAGCCAATGAGGCCTCTGTGTGGGCATGGCCTTCTCCTGAGTATTCTAGGAACAACTCATGTATTTCCTCCTTGAAGGCAGGAGACACACTCTTTCTCTCACTGCTCACTAACTGCAATACATTGTAGCTGACAAGACACATGTAACTATGCTAATGCCCTGAGCTGAATAAGGCACGTGGAGACCGCTGCCAACACTGAGATGCTTACACAGCCACTGGATCCACAAGACTTCCCACCCACTGGCCTGTGATCTTCCTGCATTCGGTATCATTGCATGTGCTTCGTGAGTCTGAATAGGATTTTATAAATTGGTATCAGACATATGGACTAATATGGGACTTAGGGAATCGATCTGGAGTTGACTGGGATGTTTTCTCAATACTCAACTGCTAGTGTATATAAAGCGCTTTCTTATACACATGTGAGTGTCTATGAATTTGTTTCTCTAGTCTACCTATGCAGAAAGAATGCAAATGATAGTCACAAGGGGTCTTAGGAGCTTAGTCTGCTAAGGATAATAGAACTGGTCAGGAGGAGGGGTCATTAATGGGGAGTAATACAGAGAAAAAAATCAAAGGATACAAATGCAGGGATTTGAGGGGCTGAGGAAGTGATAACTTCTTGTAAAAACTAGCAGCCATACTTTCACAGAAGTAGAATTTTTAAAGTAGACAATAACATGGAAATTTCAAACAGCAAAAGCGAGGAGAAATAGGGAGGAAACTGGTGTTAATAGGAAAGACAAAAGAAAAATATGATTTTATGTCAAAAGTCCAGGTTATACCTAGCTTCTAATATCAAATATCAAGTGTAAATGATAAGTATGCAGATAGAAATGTGCATCTGGGAGGCCTGTAAGTGATAAGAGTGGAGGCACATTTACTTGGGAAGTTACTAACAGAAGTCACAAAAGAAAAGCCACTGAAGGCAACAAAAATGGCATAGACATGTGTTCTGAAAATCATGTTTGGTATTGGTACTTATAAATAAATATATTTAATTATCAGCAATTTGGTTTTATCTCTCTAGAGAACCCTGTCTAACACAAGCTCCAATAAGTATCTTTTAGCCTGAGTTTTGGGGCTTTTTTCTATGAATATTTTAGACATACGCAACATATAAAAATAAAACACGCATTGATGCTCACATCATGAACATTAACTAGAGAGCATAACAAATGCAATGACATCAGCAGAGCAAAGACCTTTGCCACTGACCTTTATGTATCCTCTGGACACTCTCCTCTCACCGGCTGTCCAAGTTTACAGACTGAAGCAGAAGTGCACATCCACTAACTGAAACATCATCATCTAATCTGAAAACTAGGCCCTATGACACCCAAGCTATTCCCAACTTGAACTCAATCCCTTTTGCCCCCTATCAAGAGCACAGGGTTTTGTTACTGAAACACCTCGCCCAGAGCACAGCAGCATCTAGCTGCAGGCTCAGACATACTTCCCTTTCTCCAAGGCCAGGACAATTGGGCACAGAAGGGGAAAAAGAGCGGGGAGGGGGATGGCACTATCTTCTTTCACACCTAAGACCTTGCACCCCAGAGGTCTGAGCTTCTAAAACTATGATCCAGAAAAGCCCCAGGGCCAGGAGCCTCACTACTCTACTGAAACTTAGCCTCTAAACAAAGTAGAGATCTCTATATCCCTTTATACTATTATTGCTACAGAAGGGAAAACAAACATTTAAAAAACACAAAAGCTGGTTTAACATATGAATTAATTTTTAAATAATTTATCAACAATATTTCCTATAATTAGGATATTACCAATAGAAAAGTAAATTGATACACAGAGCAGTCCTGGAAAATGAAACAAAATCCATATTTTTTGATCTCCTAAAAATGTGCTATTTTACCCTGCAAAGAGAATTGATATAAAAATTATAAAAATTACTGACAAAAAAATTCTAACCTCTTGTTCCCCAACATTCTGTTTTTCTAGTGTAAGGTCCAATTTCTCAACAATCTTCAAAACAGATTTTATAAATTCATCATAGAGCAAACGATTCAAACTTTGAAGGGACGAATTCACAAAGAAAAATGCTTCATCTGCTAAAAGAGAATCCTTAAATAAAGAAAAATAATAAACTTAAAAATTGAGGTGAATAAAATGAATTATTATGTGTATTCAGTAAGCATTTAAAAATGTACAGACACACATACACATTTACATTTTTTTAAGTGCAATGAAGACCGTAAGTTTTATCTGGAAATTGTCAAGATACAAAATTTAGGTATCTTCCTACATTAGGCAGCATCTTTTGCTCAGATGATACATTAGACCCACTCACATAACAAATGTAGAGAATAAGAAAACCAAGGTCAGTATTTGTCAATGAACTTACCATAGTTAATTTATGTATGTATGTATATGTATGTGTGTATACATGTATGTATGTATATGGTTACTGGGCTCCAGTTCATACATGCTCATGTTTATTCAAAACAAAATGTGTTTAAGCATGTTTCTGCGACCAGTGAATGACTGCAAAAAATTCTCTCAATAATACGTTTGTCTCAGCCTTGGTAAGGTGCCTTCAAAAAAAACAGCAAAGGGCCATCGAAACAGCGGCTTTCGTGGAACTCTGTTGAGCCAAGTAAATTCAAGGCAGAGGTCAGCTCTGAAGGTTATGGACTCTTTTTCGGGAATCCAGAGGATAATCTTGGTAGGTATTCATGAAGAATACAGGAGCATCACACGCCTTATTATTAACAAGTTTAAGAAAATAAAAAACTGCACTGGTGAGAGGAAAAAGCCGAGAGAGTGGCACCAAGGATTTTTTTTTTCCATCACAACCATGCACATAATCCTTCTTTGAGGAGAGTAAAGGCTGTCCTACAAAAATTTCATTGGGACACCTTGCCCCATGCACCCTGTTCTTGCTCCTTCAGCCTCCCTCACCCCACTCCCACCTACCAAAAGAAAAACATTTAGTGAAAATTTGAAAGGTACACAATTTGAGTCCCTTGAGAATGCCAACACTTGCAAATTGGGAGTGCAGAATTCTTTGGGGCAGGGTTAGAGATGGCCATGCCACCTTCAGAAGTGTGTAACGGACAGAAGGAGGATAAATCCAAAAACACTAACTTCGCATCTTGATATTTTTGTTTAATAAATGTTGCTATTATTTCACAGCAGTACTTTTTGATTTATCTAAGGACACACATCTATTCTTGCAGAAATACAGACTTATGGATAAACATATACCCTTCTTCAGAATGGATTTAAAAGTTTACCATTCAAAGTGAAAGGTGTCCTTGTGGTACAGGGCTTAGACACTTAGCTGCTGACTGAACCGTCAGTAGTTCAAACCCAGAAAGCATTCCACAGGAGAAAAATGTGCCAGGTGGATTCCACAGACATTACACACTTGGAAACCATATGGGCCAATTCTAGTCTGTCCTATGAGTCACTGCATCAGACTCAACTAAATGTTAACAGGTTTGGTTGATTTTAGTTTAAAAGTGAAGCTATTTATCACCAAAAAACTATATATAATAACACAACCTATACGCAAATAGTCTATGGGACTTAACCTCAAAATTTAGGAATTGCATTACACACAAAAATACTTTAGGTTAAAATGACTAACGATTGCTATACTATTTTACTTCAGTGAGAAAACAACTAAATCTATCGAAGACTTTCAGAGGACAGGAATCATCATTTGATAAAGACTGCTTGCCTTAGCTATTAATGTGTTATCAGAACTTCCCAAAATGCTTGGTTAAAGCAGGCACTAAACAAACATTTACTAGAACATCTTAGGTATTATTTTAATTACAAGTAAATAACAGCTGTGTACCAATTCCCTTCAAAGCTGTTAAATCAATCAGATTAATCTTCATCTTTAACAAACAAAAAGAAACGAGCTCCTCTACACTGACAACACTGTTCTACTTGTTCTTACCTTGCAGGCGGGGTCTATTAGAAAGCACAACAGCATCAACTACATTAGCGGGCTTCAAAAAGTTCCTGGAAAAGCTCTACTATTTCAATTCCATGTTCCACAAGCTCTTGAACCCCTCTTGTCCTAATTATAATACCACGCATAAAGCTTCTGAAAGGATTCAGTCACAGTGATTACTCTTCAGTGAGTTCTATTTTGGGGGGTGGGGGGTGATTAGTTTGTTTCTTTTAGTTGATTTTTCTAGTCTCACTTTAATTGTCCTAACTTATGCCATTTTAATGTTTTGTTAATTGAAGTTTGGGGTTTGCTTTTTTTAAACTTTGAAAGCTAATAAAACACAATTCTGAAATAACTCTTAGATTTAAAGCTATGGAAGCCTATAGATCGGTGTTAGGATAAATTCATGGTGTTAAAATTGTAATTTTTACCATCATCTGGTCACAGTTCATGAGACTCCTAAAAAGATCCAAATAGTCTTTGGTGATGGGCATTTTCCACTTGCCAGTTTGGACTTCCCCAGGGGCACGTAGATCTTCCGAATCAGCTGCAGCCTGCCAGGAACACATGCAGAACACTCACTGATGGGCCCACACAATACACGCTGCCGTCCGAATGACTGAATGCGAGGGTTTTCTAAACTAAGCCAGCTGTCGGTACTAGATATAGACTAGTCTGAGGAAGACAGGATTTTATGAAAGCGCAGCAAAAAGAAATCTGAAGAAACACCATGAAACTCTTCTATCACTAAAATGGTGCTGTAACTAACCTGCTCCAGCAGGAAGTGTTCCAACACAGTCACTGAGCATACTTTAAGTCTTGACCTCTCGTTCCTACACAAATTAAGCCACTCACCCCATTTCCGATAACTATTAGTCATTAAGATATCCCATTAGGTAATTTATTTTAGTATTTGGTACGAGAAAATTCGAAAGACTTTTTTTTTTTTTTTTAAATGTAACAGCAAAGTTATGCCTAAGGATGTTTCCTAACTCAGAAGTTTATTTGCATGCCAAAATAGAGAAGGATTACGGCGGACACATTTCAAAAACTTAGCTCATTGCCATTAAGATAATTCCACCTCATAAGCAACCCACTGTAACACTACAAGGACCACTTTCAGATATTTATATAATAAAAACCTCATTTACCTGTTGAAGGACCACTGGCTTAGAACATATTCTGATTAAACCCTGATGCACTGAAGAAAAGAAAAAGGAAAGAAAGATACATTGAAACATGCAAACACTCAACAAAAATAAGATCTATCACCTTTTGCTTTGTTTTTTTGTTTTGTTTCTGTTTTTTGGAAATCTATCACCTTTTGGAACATATTTTTACCTCCCATATATTTTTTCTGGTTGAGATGAAGAAGCAAAGGGAGAAAAGAATAATAAAAAAAAAAAGTATGAAAAAAGGCGATCTGCTTCACTGAAGTATTAGGAGTTCCCGATTAGGCATCAACAGATGAATGAATTAGGCAACCAGATTTTCTTGACCTACATCAAATAACATACTAAACATCAGCTATTCATCATCATGAAAAATTCCAGTCAATCCAAACTTACCCACAGTACCAATGCAATTCCAGAGAACTGGTCCTTTGTTGGCTAAGACCAGGAAAACCTTCACTATGGCTCGGCAACACACCAGCTGCATCTTTGGACTATACTGTGGGAAGCTGTCTATCTGCACCACCAGGAGGTGCTCCAGAACTGGAGTGTACACCACAGGCACCTGCCAGAAGCACAGAGCACAGACACAGCTCAGGGCGGGGACCACTGAAAGCAGGAATAGCACAGCCTTCAAAGTAGTCACGACTCAGTCAGACACTAGCTACAGATACATTAGAAACTGAGGGTTTCGTATCTAATTGGCTGAGTTGTCATTTATCATTGTGATTGTCTAAGAAAAATGGGAATAAATCACCTGAATGATATTTGGTGTGCTACTCTGTCCCAAGTGTTAACTCTTAACCTTTTATGAAGGTGAAAAGAGTTAAAAGAAAAAAGAAAGAAATTTCCCCTCCTTTGCAATAAGTCTATTGACACACAAAAAAAAACAATTTAAAAATGTAACTTTACTTACAAGAGTACCAAATGCAATAGACAGCATGATTGTCATTAAATTATTTGAGGAACTGGGGATGAGGACTCAAAATTGTGCTTAGTTTAGCAAGCTCTTCACTTACAGTGTCAAGGTAAAGCAAGACACTGGCAATGGACTGGAGGAAACTTGGCAACTGGTAAGTATGGTCTTCTGCAGTGTCGGTCTGCGTCAGGAACATCTGTCTGCAGCGCTGGAGGAGCTCAACATACATCCAGTCCACATTCTCAGCACTGATCGCCTTACAAGGCTTAAGAAAAGTCCAACCGAAAAAAAGAGTCACCAATCTTAGCAACATCAAAAGCATATTGAATATATCACATTAATCCATGTGGTTACAAACTGAATATTAACAAGCCTTTTGATGGAGAGGAAATACAGATTTTAAATATAACATATTTTTATAAAATGATTTGTAGAATAATCACATACAGAGTATTTACTGATTGTCAACTGTAAGGGTAAGTCACAAAGTACTGCTACAAAATTATAGTAATATTTATTAAACAAAATACGAAAATGTGAAGGTATTTCTTAGTGTTATATCCTCCATTGAGGCCTCAACACACTGCAGGAGGTGTTTCCTTCTCTCTAATTAAGTCAGTGGTTCTCAACCTCTCTAAAGCTGCAACCCTTTAATACAGTTCCTCATGTTGTGGTGACCTCCAACCATAACATTTTCGTTACTACTTCATAACTGTCATTTTGATACTGTTATGAATCTGGCAACCTCTGTGAAAGGGTCATTCGACCCCCAAAAACACAGGTTGAGAACCACTGCTCTAAGCCTTCTCTGAAGAATGCGGCCATCTTTGATATACATCATATAATAGAGCTCTTTAAACACATTTTATTTGGAATAAACCCAGGCGTATATGACCTGGAACCATAGTAGTAATTCATTTTGACATCCTTCATGTATTCTATGCACTATTTAGATGGTGGGAGCCAAACACAAGTGAGGTACAGGCCCTGGTCCCACAGGGATATTATGCAGAGAAAGAGGCCAACAATTCAGTCCATAACTGCAATCTTATGTGTTGAGATGTATACGTAACCAAGGCTGTCTTCTTGAAATATAAGTCTCATATTATTGCTACTACTACGCAATGTCCAATATTTGAAAGGTTCTTTTGACTCCCAATTTGGGGCCTGTCTCCTCTGGTATCTGAATGACTTGTAAGACTCAACCCACGGCTATAGACACGAAGTAAGTGTAAACAGGTGAGAAGGATGCGAAGGATGCGCAGTGCTAGCAACGCATGCTCTCTTACTCAGCGCCAACTCACATTGTCTCCTCTGCATTTCGGATACTTAAAGACATCCACAGAAACAGGAGATGACGATAAAAAAGAAAATGGAGTAACAGCTCATGGGAGTTAGGAAACCTTGCAATAATACATATGAATAATCTTCAGACACAGTACCCACAGTCACTGAGTCAATTTCAGCTCACAGCAACCCTGTAGGACAGAGTCAGATGTCCCAGACTATAAATCTTTATGGGAGCAGTCTCATCTTTCTCCTGAGTAGTCAGCACTTAAAAACTGGTAATAATCGACTAACAATTTCAAAAGCAATAATACTGTCATTTATGTAAGATGCTGTTAAGAAATGCAATAAGGTATGTTTTAAAAATCAAATGAAAAAAAATTTTAAAAAGGAAATGAATAAACCATACTCCTGCAAACAGTCCATATCCACGAATAGCAATGGCTAACTCCTTGTTGCTGGAGTCCATGTTTCTGATGATTTCGTAGAACTGTTTCATGAAATACTGCAGTGTACTCTTATGCCTTTCTGCATCTGCTGATACCGTAACAGAAACCTGTAATTAACAGTCACTTATTAGAGATACTTAACAGCAAAATAAAATAATCTAGACTTAGGGGGAAAGGTTTATTGTGGTGTTGTTACTGGTTTTGTCGTAACCCAGCTTAGCATAAAGACCTCCATTTGGTTTAAAACTGCCTTCTCTGTCTGTGCTCAACCCTGACAGCAACTGGATGCCCCTACCCCCTGCTGAAATCCGGACAGACCTTACCTCACTCCAGATGTCTCTGGGCCCCTCCTGATATCCTGCTTGCCCAATTAGCAAGAAAAGTAATATATCCTGCCAAACCCGAGTTATTACCTACAGATGGGTTCCCTCTGAGCCCCTCCCAGTACCATGCCTGCCCAATAAGCAAATAATACAACTGCCTGCATGTTCCCCGTTAGCCAGCCCACTGCCTTAACTATAAAACCCTTTTTTCTTTTCTTTCTCCCAGGTCGACAGCTTTCCAGGCTCTAGCCTCCTCTCAGCCCAGCTATAATAAAGGCTTGTGGTCGTTTCATAATCTGGTGTCAATTGGGACTTGAGAGGATTAAGAGTGAAGGGGTGGAGTCTAGTCTGTTAAACAGATCATAGCCAATGAGGCCTCTGTGTGAGCATGGCCGTCTCCTGAGAAATCTGGAAAATTCTGTTTTTGCTCCTTGGAGGCAGGAGACGCGCTCTCTGCTCATTCCCTTAGAAACGCTCTACTGACGAGACACATGGCACTATGCTGTAGACCCCTGTGCCCTCAGAACTGGAGAAGTCACGTGGAGACCCTGCCAGCACTGAGACGCTTACAACGCCACTGGATCCAAAGACTTCTACCCACTGGCCTGTGACCATCCTGCATTCAGCATCCTCGCATGTGTTTCGTGAGTCTGAAGAGGACTTTATAGATTGGTATTGGACATATGGACTAATATCAGACTTATGGGCTTGTACTACACTGGGTTGGGATGCTTTCTTTTATTTTTTTTTAATTGGGGGCTCGTACAATTCTTATCACAATCCATACATACATCCATTGTGTCAAGCACATATGTACATTTGTTGCCCTCATCATTCTCAAAACATTTACCCTCCACTTTAGTCCCTAATATCAGTTGCTCATTTCCCCCTACCCCCTCCCTCATGAATCCTTCATAATTCATAATTATTATAGTTTTGCCATAAGTTACACTGTCTGACGTCTCCCTCCACCCTCCTCCCTGCCGTCTATCCCCCAGGGAGGAGGCAATACTTAGATTCTTGTTATCGGTTCCCCCTTTCCACCCCACATTCCCTTCACCCTCCAGGCATCGCCCCTCTCACCACTGGTCCTGAAGGAGTCATCTATCCTGGATTCCCTGTGTTTGCACAGTTGCTATATGTACCAATGGACATCCTCTAGTCTAGCCAGATTTGTAAGTTAGAATTGGGATCATGATAGTCGGGGGGAGGAGGCATTTAAGAACTAGAGGAAAGTTATATGTTTCATCGTTGCTATCCTGTACCCTGATTGGCTCATCTCCTCTCCACAACCCTTCAGTAGGGGGTGTTCAGTTGCCTACCAATGGGCTTTGAGCCTGCACTCTGCACACACCCACCTTTACAATGATATGATTTTTTGTTCTTTGATGCTTGATACCTGATCCCTTCGACAGCTCGTGGTCACACATGCTGGTGTGCTTCTTCCATGTAGGCTTTGTAGCTTCTGAGCTAACTGGCCGCTTGTTTATTTTCAAGCCTTTAAGACCCCAGACCTATATCTTTTGACAGCCGGGCACCATCAGCTTTCTTCACCACCTTTGCTTATGCACACTTTTGTCTTCAGTGATCGTATCAGGAAGGTGGGGGGGATGCTTTCTTAATGTACACTTACCCTTTATGTAAAACTCTCTCTTATAGACATGAGCGTCCATGAATTTGTTTCTCTACTCTACCCAGACTTAACACAGGCTTCTTTTTAAATAATTGGTGCGTGATCTAATCTCATGTGGGTTAGAACAATTGCATACTATTGAGTTGATTGCAACTCATAGCAACATTCTAGAACAGAATAGAAATGCCCAACAGGGTTTCCCAGGTTATCCTTATGGAAGCAGACGGCCAGATCGTAGGTGCAAACTGAATAGTACGGCACTTAATCATTGCACCAGCAGGGCTCCTTTGTTTAATTAGACATCATGGTGATATTCCTGAGCCTTGATGGTGCTGTTGGGTAAGCACAAGGTCAGCAGTTCAAACCAACCAGTCACTCCACAGGAGAGAGATGAGCTATCTGTTCCCACAAAGATTCATAGCCTCGGAAACGCTATAAGCATCACTATAAATCAGAATCAACTCGATGAAAGTGGTGGTGATGTGTCACTGCCATCGAGTCAATTCTGACTCAGTGGCACCCTGTAGGACGGAGTAGAACTGCCCCTTTGCATTTCCAACACTTTTGATTTTGAAAGGAGTAGATAGCCTTATCATTTGCAGGCAGGGTAAAGTGGTTGGGGGCTCATGTTTAGCCACTAAATGTGTAACCCACACCACCACCACTGCTCTTTCAATGTGTTACCATAGTCCCTGTCTCAACTAGCTTTTTAAAAGGGTTTCTGAAGGACATTCTCTGAGAAAGAGCTGCAAACATGTTCATGTTTGTTCTAGAGAAAGGGACAAAAGAAGATGAGGCAAAAATGGGGAGGAAGTCTGCACAAAAATGTATTGAATGAAGCAGATCGCAACTTCCAGAGGTCAGCTGAAACAGAGAGTAATGTGGAGCTGTCCGTTACTGTGCTTGCTGAGCTCAGACGTCTCCAGAACAATGGATGCTGGATTAAAAACCCAAACTCACTGCCATCCAATCGATGCCAAATCATTTCAACCCTATAGAACAGAGTGAAACTGCCCCTGTGAGTTTCCTAAACGATCACTCTTTACAGGAGTAGATGATAAAATACGTAAATGTATAGATGCTGAAGAAGAACAAGAACAAACATTCCAAAAGGCCGAGCACAGCTTAACAAAACTACAGGTTAAGAGAGCTAACCTCTGTAACACGGGAATTCCAAAATGAGAGGAGGCAAAGGGGCAGAAACAACATCTGAAGAAATAACAAAGGAAGTAACTCCAATCTAATGGAGCACATGAATCTACAAATCTCAGAAGCTCAAAGAATCTTAGGTACTGTAATAGAAACCGAAAGAGTTCTACACCAAGACACATCACAATTAGGCTCTCAAAATTTAAAGTAAGAACTCTGAAAGCATCGAGAAAAGCAAACAACAGGGTCCCAGAGCCTTGTTTTTGGCTAATGCTTTCAATGCAGCTTGGACTTCTTCCTTCAGTATTACTGGTTCTCATGCATATGCTACCTCTTAAAATGACTGAACGTTGGTTAGTTCTTTGTAGAACAAGGGTTCTTCGCACTCTTTCCATCTTCTTTTCAGGTTTCCTGCATCAGCCAATAGTTTGCCCATGGAATCTTTCAATATTGCAACTCGAGGCTTCCGTTTTTTCTTGAGTTCTTTCAGTTAAAATGTGCTGAGCGTGTTCAACCGTTTTGGTTTTCAAACTCAGATCACTGCACAGTGTACTATACTCTGCTTTGTCTCTGGAGCTGCTTCTGGAAATTTTCTGTACAGCTCATTGACTTGATCATTTCTTCCATTTGCCTTAGCTACTCTATGATTAAGAGCAAAAGAAAGTAGAGGAAAACGTGGAACAAAACTGAAAATTAGAAAAAAGGCCAGGCTTACTGGAATGATGGAGACTATGGCATCCTCCAGGCATGCTCCAGCCTGGAAAAGAACTCACCACTGTGGCTCTACTTTCAGCCAAATAATAGACAGGCCTTTAAGGTGAACAATAGCACCAGAAGGCTTACACTCATTAGCACAATCAACCAAGATCGAGATCAAAAATAAAGCCCAAAGGGCAGTAAGGAGTAAGAAAGAAGGAATAAAGTAAATAGAGGAAACACAAGGAAGTGAGAAATGTTCTCTTATATTGTGGGTATTGTATTTTGCTCTATAAAACTTTACCCAAATCACAATTTTTAAAAGTGAGAGAATATTTTTTAAAATGTGGACATAGTCTGGAACCAGGGTTCAGGGATGCCACCATACAGGTCCATTTTCCCCCACCAAGTCCTATACACCTTGTGGTAGTTACATAATCTGGTGTCACTTTGTGGAGGGGTGGAGTCTAGCTTGTCAATCAAGTCACAGCTTGATGACTTGATTTGGAGGCGCTAAGGAGATAAAATAGCTGACTGGAGGTGGGAAACTCACTCACTCCCTGTGAGACATTGCTGTTAACAAGACACATGGAGCTATGTTGATGGCAGCCAGGGCCCGGAAGCTGGAGGAGCCACGTGGAGACCCATACCAGTGCTGAGATCCTTCCACCGACACTGGATCTATAAGACATTCCACCCATTGGCCTGTAATGTTCCTGCATTCCATGTCATTGGATGTGTTGTGTGAGTCTGAAGAGGAATTTATGGACTAGTATTAGACATATGGCTAATACTTGACTTATGGACTTGATCTAGACTGGGCTGGGATGTTTCTTAATATGCAATTGATCTTTTATATAAAGCTCTTTCTGATACACGAGTGTGTCCATGAATTTGTTTCTCTAGTCAACCCAGACCGGCACACCTATATTCACATTAGTAATAAAGTCCAAAATTCCACCTCTACGAGATTTATTTGAACATGTTCACTGAGATCCAAAAATATTTATGTTACATAGCTAAAAAAATTCTCCAACTTTCATTTTCCTTAGCGACTAAAATCTGTCAAATGAAGCAGAAGAATTGTTGTTGTTATTCAGGAAACAGGAAGACAGGGCCATTGTAACGCCCAGAATAATTTGGAAGGTTAAGCCTGATGGGGAGGGGCAGAACGGCACAGAAACTTATAAAGCAAAAGGAGGCAAGATGAGAGATCAATATCCAAAGAGCAAAGAACACGAATTCTGCAGTTTTGTTGGAGTAAAGCCCACAAATAGAAAAAAGATGGTAACTTCTTCTCGTGACCCTCCCTCCTGTACATGCTGGCTCTGGATTTCATGCCCATCCCATTTATACCATGGCTCTGAGGTTTCACAGACTAGCCAATGAATTTAACTACCATTTATCCATTTGTAACACCACTTCAAACAAAACTCTACGAACCTTCAGCATGTCCCATCAGATACGACAAAGCACTCTGATGCCCGGGCTCTCAGCCTGTACAGCAAGTATGTTCAGATACATTTGGCTCTTTCAGTTCTCCTTGCCTAGTGTAACACCTTTCCATATTTGCAGGTTCAAAGTCTGGACACATCCCATCCAAATGGAAATAGGACAAGGGCAAGCAGGCTTTCCCTGACCTCGAAGGGACAGAAACAAGCATTTCCTCTTATCCCAGTCACCAGCACATCTACCATGAGCAGAAGCTCCTTGCCCCACCGAGGTGCCCACCCAACTCTGGATAATTCAGCCCTGGCTCACCTTTCCTTCCATTTCCTGTCCCTACTTCACCTTCACCTTGGCTCAGAGGTCATGTACCTCACCTAGAATGCTCTCAGTTTTCTTTCAGTGCTGCTGCCACTTAGAAAGCTGATCCATAATAAAGCTCCTTTACCACAGAAGATAACAGATCAAGTTACGTTTTGTCATTCAAAGAGATATGCACAAGATTATAATTATAGATATGTGTGCAAAAAAATATTTTTAAATAAATGCTGAACTTGTAGTACCTGTTTCAGAAAGGACTCCAAGGCCGCATGTGCAGCTTTCTTCAGTTCGACATTGGTATGACCACACCACTTCGAAATCACTTCAAACAAAGACATGTAGTTGTCCAAAAGGCAGGTGCTGAACTGGGATGCATGCAGGGCAAACAAGCGCAGGCCAGCTGTAACCACAAACCCGTATTTAAAATAGGGCAACCCAAGCCACAACAAAAACTGAGAAAGCTCCCAGTTTGTCTCCAAAGCCAAGCCCTATTTATGGCAATCTGATTCTGCCAGGATTAAACTGCCCAGGGATCTACTGGAGTGCTGATACCAACAGCCGC